TGCAAGAATCCATGGGGACTGTACCAACATTCGTGCTGAGGTACAAGCTGCCATAAGAGCCTTGAAGCTTATTCGCACCCTCAAGCAACATATTGACCCACATATCCGCATCAAATTCATGACTGACTCCAGCTTTGTCCTTCAAATCCTCAATGATGTTATTAAACCCACCATCTATGCTAGTGAAATTAACGAACTGCACCATCACTGGGGATTCCTCTGTCACAGTGTCGTTGCCGCTCATGTCAAAGGACACGCAGGCCACGCTTTGAACACCTTAGCCGACCAGTATGCAAAGCAGGCCCTGTACTTTGCACACTACAAGATCACATACCGCACTGCTGACTTCAGACAAGCAAACATCCTACAGGCCTCCAGTCCCATACCACCGATACACCAGTGGCTTGCGGCATGATTTCATGTTTTTTATTGACAGAATGTCTGAGAGCGTTTTCTGTTCCCGCATGCTTCAGGGGGGGGGGCAGGACGGACCGAAAATCATTTTATTTTGCAGCTCCCTGCTCCTCGAGTGTAGTGCGATCCTTTTCAGCTGACCTGCAAGTGTCAGCATGCAGATGCCGGAAAACATGGCTTTCGTTTGGACCTTGACTGCCTTGGCTCTGAGCATCCCTGTGCTCTATGCCTTTGGCAAACATGCCAGACGGGCGATGAACTACGCCAGAGAGTGGTACACGCAACCACCAGCCTGGCAGCGTGCACTTGACCACATGCATGAGACCACTATGCAGACAATGACTGCCCTGATCAACGAGCGACTGGATCAGTTAGAAAAGGACCACAAGGAACACTTGGTGGACAACCTGCAAGTTCTACATGCAGCTGTCAAGACGGGAGCTCAACAGGTGACGCTGGACGGATCGCAACTCAAGCAGATCCGTGATCTGCTGGCCCAAGAGTCAAACGAGACTCGCAAATCTGTGATCCTCCACAAGGACCTCCTGGATGATGTGGCGAAGCAGCAGAAAGTCCTGGAAACCCTGCAAGATGGCAGCCTAGCTCAGGTTCGCGAAGTGTTGCAGGACCAGCAAGCTGGAACCAGGCAGATCTGCGATAAGACCTCGGAGCTGTCGGACAAGCTGATCGCACTGGATAGACTGGTGGACGCCCTGTCTGGAAGCATCCAGAAGATGTCGAATGAGTGTCATGTTGGCTTCACAAAACTGGACCAAAAGAGTGAGAAAAACCACAATCAGTGGTTCACCGAGAATGGCAGCATCAAGAGCTACCTCACCTCGGCCATCCCCCTCATCCGCACCACCAAAGAGGGGATGGATGGTATGCAACGTGCCATCCCGGATGTGGCAAAAGAGTGTGATGGAATTCGAAAGCGGATCGATGACCTGCCGATCGACCCCATCATGCGACACCTTGGCCACACAGAACATGTCGTCACGGAAGTGAAGGAGACACTGGACCAGGTCTGGAGCTGGCTGACGGACATCTGCCGGAATGTTCAAGACGTCAACATCAGGGTGCAAGAGTTGGACGAGAAGGTGATGGAGAGGCTTCCAAAGCTGCCGGCTCGTAAGCCGCCGAACCAGTCTGGCAGCAGCACGACCGCCACCAACACCGAGCACAGCACCCCTCCTGAGACGATCAGGCTTCAGGAGGCTGTACCGGCTTCATCGTCGAGCAATGCACCAATCTTCCTGAGCGCGGCCTCACCCTTTATCGTGGCACCACCTCCGGGTCAAGGAGCGCCGCTCATTTTGACGGCCCAGCAGCAGGATGCCCTGCAAAGGCAGGGACATTACATCTTCCAGAGGTGAAACAACACCTCACAACAGTACTTCATGCCATTCCATTGATGCCTAGGCCAGCACTTCTATAACATCTTTCCTTGTTTGACGAATGGGCCAATGGATGCAGTGAAGGCTGAATGGCACCTTTCTTGTGCACTACAGACAGCATACGAATTTAAGCAGCATGTGCATTCGAATTTATTTGCATTTGCATGTGCTGGTTTCACTGCCCTGCCACCACGATGATCTGCATGTCACTACGAGGTGCTGACGCACACATACGTTTGCATGTCACGACCCTTGGCTGCGTGCTGAATTCGTTTGGAATTTAAAGAATTTCTTTGTGCTGCAACATGCTGTATGCTGGAACATCTGAGTGCTCACTATGTGCGAACAAACGACTGACGGCCCCGCCGCCCAAAAGAAGACACCGATCGCTTGACAATTCAGTCGTAGCATGTCAGTGTTTCGCGTGCGAACTCCGTTGCACTTGATGATCAGTGGTTAATACTTGCGGTCAATCGCTTGTGGCTCAGGAAGAACACATGATTTTCAGGGCTCCATGTTCTCTTGGCGTTCAAAGTTCTGGATTGTCTGGGGATTTTCGAAGGTCCGATGCTGCCTGACACAGTCCCCGTGGAAAACCAGCGTGAAACACTGTGTCACCCCAGAGTGAAACGCCTGAAACTCGAGCCCAAAACCTGCCTCACAGCCCCAAGCCAGGTACCACAGGCCTTAACAACCGAACATCGATGTGGCAACGTCGAGAGCGCTGCAACTGAGCTCCTGAATAGGTCACCTGATGAACCAATCCTGCACTCCGACATACTTACATTGTGGACCCTAATCCCAAAAGCCAAGCGCCTCCGTCCCAAGCCTTCACAGCAGCCCCCTGAACTTCCTGAATGCCCAAAACGTGAGATGTCCTATATGGTACTAGGCCAGAATCCCCGTGACCCCAATCAGATCACGCACTGCACTTTCGAGTTCAGCAGAACAACAAAGGCCCTTGTCCGCTTCGTATCTAGGTGGGCCCCCAGTTTCAAGTTCACCACCATTGCCATCATCGCTAATGGTCATAAAGGCCCCCACCGAGACCTCAACAATTTTGATGGCCTGTCATTCCTGTCCTGCCTTACTACACAGGAAGGAGGCGACTTATGGATCCGTGATGACCGTGGTAACCATCCTGTAAGTCATCACGGCAAGACAGTGTGGGGTAGCATTGTGCCAGTGCAACAACAACCCATTCTTTTCCCGAGTAGAAGCCTTCTACATGCCTGCACTCCATGGAAAGGGCACACTAGGGTGACTCTCATAGCCTTCAATACCATACACTCCCGATGCCTCTGCAAAACCAATTCCTCCCTGCTACAAAAGGTATGGCAGTTTCCAGTACCAGGTGAGTCTGAGTTGGATCAGTGGCGATTACGTTTCCAGTTGCAGAGAAGCATTAAAGAGTTCGGTAGACTGCGTGAAGGACCATCAACAATAGTGCTGATTGAGAGCGATAATGAGGAAGACAGCGACGCACAGAGTGCACTGAGAACAACAGAGAGCCGCTGATGCGATCTCCATGTGTAAGCATCCCCTCAAGCACCCTCGGAAATCCACAAAAAAAGCTATAAAAAACCTGTCCCTGCACTTACACAAGGTGATTGCAACAGCGCAGTGATCTGTCGTCGTCGACTCCCGACCCGTCTGTTCCGTCCGGTCTCCCTCTCCCTAGGGGGTTGGGCTACCATGTTATGCTACTCCTATTGAGGTGATATTGGGCTCGCTCTCAGGGGCTATGGGACCTCAATATAGACAGGGACCCCACTCGATTTGCGGTTTTTTCAGGGCTTCTTAAGTGTCACAGTAGTGCAGCAGCCATGGCCGGATCGTCTAGTGTCACTGACGAAGAACTGCCCACTGCCCGCTGCCTCGCTGCTCAGTGGAGGCTGCACTCCAGAGTCGGATGATCGGATGATCAGACTGGCAACCATGGCTTGACAGGGACGCCTGTGAATTCTGAATTTACTACTGCATGGAATCTATTGGAATTTATTGACTTCATCGCATGGTTCTGCTGCGACCAGTATATACAGTGGAGGCTGCACTCCAGAGTCGGATGACCAGACTGGCAACCATGGCTTGACAGGGACGCCTATGAATTCTGAATTTTTCTGAATTTACTGCTTCATGGAATTTAGTGGAATTTATTGAATTCATCGCATGTTTCTGCTGCACTGTGCAAGACCAACGTCTGTGGGCAACACAGGGCCTACAAATGCCTCATGGTATCTGGGGTCCGATTGTTGATGGCTGCATGGATCTGCATTGCGGAGCACGTGAGACACTGTTCCGAATTTATGGAATACATTCTGGCATGACTGCATTGGAATTCAGGAGCTGAGTGAGGACCATCCAAAACGACTGACTGGCGGAGGATCATCCAATGAGACTGACCGGTGGACACACGAGCTTTGGATCATCTCGGCACGCAAATTGCCATGTGGCTTGACGGTCTGGACGTGCATGGAATCCTGCAGAACTGCATGAGCCGGCGAGAGTGAGAGTGATGAGTGCATGCGATGGGAGAATGTGGAGAGCACTGAAAGTGGAGAGAATTCCTACTGTTTGTGAGGTGGCAGGCACCGAAGCGGGCCAAAGGAAGATTGCGGGGGCATCAACGAAGTTGTATGTGTGTGAGCGAAAAGGCACCAAAGACGAGTGGAGTGTGTGTAACACATACCCGACTCATCGATCTTTTCGGCTTTGCAAAGACACAAAAGCCAGCGTGGGGTCCGAAGATGACATCCGTGCAAACTGTTCTATAGCTTTGTGAGTGCTGTGAAAGCCTACTTGTATAGTTGTTGTATAGCTGGATGATGAAGCCATGAGTGTACCCTGCATCGTAGGTTCGTCCTAGCCAGGCGGGAGGCAAAAAAATCCCGCCCCCCCGAGCAGTCGGAACAAAAACGCAAGCAACAAATACCGAATCAGTCCCGTGGCCATGTCGAAGTCTTCGCACAGATTGGAACGGCAATGCAGCAAAACTTGACTTCGTGACTGGGTTTGGGCAGTTTGGGAGTTTTGAACTAGGCAAACAAAGAAGGCAAGAGTGCATGGAACCGCAACACATAGCTACACCAGCTCACGGGCATCAAGACACACATGCAGACATGCAGGCATGCACCGGAGAGATACAGCACGCCGCCGTCCAATGCTTGCCGCACCCTGCCATGGCAGTGAATGGGGCGGAGCTTGACCGATGCAAATGACTTCAGGTTGAAGAAGCAGACCGTCCCCTGGCTTTCGAAATTCCAAACTGCGGTTGCGCAAAGACCCATCCGAACAGCGTATTGGTCAACTAACCTCTCAGTGCTACACCCACAATCTGTGCAGCATCGATGAAATTGCGTACGTAGGCACACAAGAGATTTATATAATTCTCATGTGATTGGACCCGCTGGGGCTGATTGTTGAGAACTGCTGAGTCAGTTAAGTCAGTTGACAGGGATTGGCAGGAAGAACGAGCAAGGTTCATGCCAGGAATCATCTCCAGGGCCTCAGTTTTTCGAGACCGGGGTGTGTCAGCGTGGCAAGACTAGAGCGATCAAGTGCAGACAATCGTGGCTTTCGAACAAGACACTCACGAAGTTTTTTGCTGCAATCACCAGGAGCGGTTTTCCTACAGTTTTTCATCTTCTGCTCAGGCTCACCTTGCAGGCTTGGCAAGGCGGCGAGCTTGGGAGCAAGCAGCAGCTGCTCACCAGCACTGAATCCGATGGGCATTGGGCTGAGTGGCAAGTATACAACCCCGGATTTCCTAGGCTGGCCTTTTCAGGCTGCGAGGAGCAGGTGCCAGTGTTGGCGTCCGCACGTCTCGCGTTTGCTGTATGTCCGTCATGTATATATGTATATCTATATATATATATATACATGTGCAGTCGAGCAGGGAGTGATTTTCGACATTGCCTGCACGTGCTTGCGCGAGGGCTCGATGCGGTAGCGATCGGGACGGCCATAAGCGCATGCAGAGGCCCGGGCGTCCCAAACTTTCTGACTGTTCGAGACTTGCTCCGTCGTGTCTTGGAGGCCAGTGGTTAATGGCTTTAGCTTTGTGCCTGGGCAAACTCATGAGCCTGGTTGATTTGTTATGCAAGAAGCCCAATCCGCGGCGTTTTCGGAACCTTTGCATGAGGTCGAAAGTCCTGATCGATTCTTCGATCGAAGCAGATGTTGTAAGCGCCACCTCTGTGATCAGCGCGTGTGAACGCGGACATGCGTGGCAAGGTGCTGTTCTGATATCACAGAACATGATGCATTTCAGCCTTCCGCCTGACACTGTTTCTCGTGGTGCTACGCTTAGTGCTTGCGAGAAGGGCTGCCAATGGACCTTGGCATTCCAGATTGGAAGTAGCATTTGCAGCTCTGCGCCCACGAATTCCCATGTTCACAACTCGTGTCTGTCTGCTGGTGCACGAGCTACGGAATGGAAGACTGTGCTGCAGATGATGCAGACATTGTGTCAGAAGCGCGGCCAGCTGGACGTTCTCAGTTACAGCTCGACCTTGCATTCATTCGACGTCGGTTTAAGATGGCAGCATTCCTTGCATGTCTTCTCTCATATGCAGACAGATGGGCCGCAACCCAATGTTGTGACGGCTTCTTCGGCGATAAGCGCGGCATCCGCCTTCCCAAGGGGTGGAGCGTGGGCCTTGCAAGCATTGATGCAGCTGGGCACGAGCAGACTTCAGGCAAACACAATCTGCTGCAATGCAGCAGTTTCCGCATGCGCCGCTTCGTCTCTGTGGGCAGAAAGCCTTCAAGTTTTTGACGGCATGCTATGCCGAGGACCAATCCCAAGCATGGTGACGCATGGAGCCCTCATGGCAGTTGTGGAAGGCGTGGGCAAGTGGCTTGATGTGCTACACCTTCTGGCAAGTGGGCAGCGACTCGGCCTTCAGCCGACCCTTGTGACATGCGCAACGTCTTTGGCTGCCTGCCGCTATGGCCGCTGGGCCTGGACTCGAGCGGTGCAGCTCTTCGCTTCTCATTTTGAGGGCAGTGGCCCTTGTGGCCCTTGGCCGACGCTGGTTGTTGCCAATGCCTTTCTGGGAGCCTTATCCACCTTTGGCCAGTGGCGAACGGTCGCCAAAGTCCTCGAGGACCTGTGCATGTGGAGGCTTCGGCCAGATCATCACACGCTCGCCAGCGCAGCTTCGGCCCTCTCTCGCGACACAGATGTTTGGATGCAGACGGTGAGTCTTTTGCAGAATTTCGGCATGCAGCCCGACTACTCCAGCTTGGAAACTTTGCTCTCGATATGTGAGTGGCAGCCTTTAAGCTGTTCGCGCCCAAGCCTGAAACGCACGGGCAGCGAACGAATGTCTCTGCTTCTCCTAAACATGCTGCAGGCTTCAGCAACACGCACGCTGGCCCAAGTGCCGACTGCCACTCGCAGTCCTCAAGTTCGAGAAGCGAGCTATAGCGACGAAGAAAAAAGGTGTCGGGGCCGGGGTGACAGGAGAGATTGCAGACCAAAGCCAGGCTTCAAGGAAAGATATGTAGCACCTGGCAAACTGTGCAGCATCGGCTCCAGTTTGCCCTTTGCAGTCCAATGACGGAGCCTACCCGTGAGGCTGCTCTCCTCCAGGAGTCACGACCTGATGCCTTCGAGCCATGGGGTCCCTTTTGCAAGAAGGAGCTTAAGGGAATGTGGGCTTTGGGATGGCCAATCGCTGTAAGTATGTTCTGCCGGTTCGCAATGTTCTCCATGGACTCCGCATGCGTGGGCCATCTAAACAGACCACTGGCCGAGTCGCACTTCCTCTTGAAGTCGGCTTGGGCAACTCCAGATGCAGAAACACCTGGCCTTCCAACAGTGGCTTATCATCTTTTGCAGCTTGAAGATGCCGTCGAGTCGAGCGAGATGCACACAGAGGCTGGCGAGACACTTCCGGACGACAGCTACTCCCCGAAAGAGTACTTGGCTGCTTCTACTCTTTCAGACACTTGCCTGGAAAGTAAGAATCAATTTTGATGGGCCGATGTGCAATCAGACAGGGATTCACATGATTCACAGAGGCGCAGGCGGTACACATAGGGGCGGGATGTTTGACGGTGTGTGGCTTGTTAGACTGCAAGGACATGATTACCAATTTTCTGACGACGCCCTTGTTGGCAATGGCATTTGGACTGAACCCACTAATTGCACAGTCAGTGGGGTCCGGCAATCTCAAGATGGTCGGAACTTGGTTGAAGTGCCTTGCATGAAATTTTGGCAGTGGATCTGCTTCTACGTGTTTTGCGAGTGCGTTGCAAGCCGTTTTTACTGAGAAGGCGACGGCTAGTTAAACCCATCAGGCTTTCTAGCATAGCACTTGACAATCCCTATCTGTACTCTGTCTGGCAGCAACTGATTTCTCGTCTTAGTAGGACGGCGAAATATGTCTTGCGTCGTGCTGATGTGCTTCTGACACCTGACCTTAGCACACAAGAGAGGAAGAACGGCAGAGAGAAATGAATGTTTCCTACCAACGTGGCAGGCTGGGCAAGCAGATCTTGGGTGGGTGTCGAACAGGAAGCTAAGTAGTGCCAGGAATAGACAGCGACAGACCCTTGCCACACCATAATTCGCATGAGAGAGTGCTTCCTCCTGCTGTGATTGTTAATTTGGCCCTGACATCCTGAAATAGACATTCAAGGTTGAGTTTCTTCTGTGTGACATTGGGCACCATTCCTTTCATCACGGGCTTCTTCTTTGTGGACGAAATATTGACCTCTCTACGTTTCGACCCGGATGTATGTTATCTTGCGGGAGTCTACGCCAGGTACAACAGCATTTGGGTGCTTCCAAACAGCTGGTATGTGACGATGCGAATGTACTTCCAAGCACAGGGCAAGCCACGTCCCGCCATGTACTTCGGGTTGATCTTCCTTTTTGTCAATGCTCTCTTTTTGTGGCTGTTGGTGTTTGGTGGGCCCGAGAATGGGAACTGGTGGCACGTGGGAGGTCTCGGCTTCATTGGTGCAGCCTTGTCCATCAGCTGCTCTCGCATTGTGCAGAGCTTCTTCTACTGGCTGTACATGTTTGTCATTAAAAAGGCACACGCGCCGACCTGGCCAGGAATGGGTTGTGACTTTTTGCAGCGGAAATATTTGAAACCATATTTTGCGCAGGTGCTGCCTCAGGTTGGCACGATGCTGCTTCAGTTCTTGATTTCGCAGTCCACAACCCTGCTGGTTGGAAAACTTGGCAAATTGCAGGTTTCTTCAAGCAGTGCGGCTGCACAAGCCACGGTGCCGATCACGGTGTGTTTGCTCATCACTTTCTCTTCGATGACAGCCATCCGAGTGGGGATGAAGCTAGGTAAAGGCCTTGGCAAAGAGGCCGCACAGACAGCATGGCTTTGTCTCGGCACGCAGGCAGGCACGGTGAATCAAGTGAAATAAGCCAGGAACTGCTTGCAGTGTTGTTATTAGTGACACTGTGGGCAGAATCTGTGCACCGAGGCAGCGCTAACGGTGCTCTTCGCTGCAGTGGCCCTTCCGCTCAGGAAAGAGTTCATGTCGCTGATGACAAACGATCCTCAGATTCGGCAACTGGCCTCAGAGCTACTTGTGCCGATCACCCTCAATTTTCTTTTCGCTGGTGCAGTGAGCACCGTGAACGGCGGAATACTTGCAAGTCAAGGGCGTACCTACCTCAGTGCCGTAATGGTGATGTTATTCGAACTTCCACTCTCCCTCGGAACCATTGCAATTTTGGTTTTGGCCTTCCATGTTGATGTGCATGTCGTGTACTGGGTTCAAGCTGGTGTGACTTTTGTTGAAGCCGTGATCGTGCTTCTGATCATATCCCGCAGTGACTGGGACAAGTATGCCGAGGATGCCCGTGCCAGAAACCAAATAACGCGACAAGCATCCGGTCAGGACGACAGTGCAGAAGCACAGTCCTGAACATCGGCACCATCGACACCCTTGTGGAAAGGTAGTGGCGTCTTGCTACCATCCTTGAGGTAGTCGTTTTCCTACCTTTCCGAAGCCCAAGTTTCACCGTTGATCCTCAAGGACGGCCATACAGCAGACGGATGTCGATGCCTTTTTGCCTGCGTCTGCACTTTGTGTTCTTGCAATTATTTCTAAGTTGTTTTTCGCCGTTCGGAGCACCTTCTGCGGGCTGTGTATGCGTTGGCTCGAGTCATGACCGACGCATCAAGTCTAGGGCATCACTTTTGGGATCAAGCAGGCCGTCAGCTCGACATCGTCCGTCCCTGAGTTTTCAGCAAGCTCCCCCAAGTGAAGCTGCATCTGATGACAACAGGCGCATCCTACTGTTTCTTCAGCTTGAAACAACCAAGGTCGAGTCTGCACAAGATGTGCAGGTGTACAGCTCGGAATGTGCCAATGCCGTGCGAGGTTTTCCTCCATCAGAGCTCGTTGATCTGCAAGCAGGCGACAATTGCGTGATTTGCCAGCACGAGCTGAAACGAGGTGACGCCACAAGACCGCTGCCTTGTGGTCACAGCAGCTGGCACGACGAATGCTTCCTGCAATGGCTGACCGAGCAGCCTTCATGCCCCATTTGCCGCGCAATGGTTGGTGAAGACGGAGTTAATACCCGTATCTTCCCGGAGGTGGTCTTGAGTGAACGTGTGGCAGATTTGCAATCGCAAGTTGAGGCCCTGGGCCACCTGTGGCAGCTTCAAGCTCTCCAAGCACACTTGCAACGGGTTGTCTTGCTAGAGAGTGAAAGACAGAGTCTAGAACTGCAGCTTATTCTCAGTTTCGAAGAGCTAGCATCTTCCGGCCAACGGCTGGCCGAGATCCATGGCGAGTTCATACGCACGTGGAGATGTCAACGTTGCCGGCTGCGATTTATGTCTGTGCCCACTCACACCCGACATACCAGACCCGAAAGCATCGCCGAGTTGGAGTCATCAACTCAATCTCTTGATCTTGCAAGCTCATGCGACTCGTCAGCTTGCTCATCAGGGCATGGTTGTCGAGGTGGTTCACACATCGCGGAAATCACCGAACAAGCTCAGTCCATCCTTA